TTGGCTTCAAGTAGTTTCCCCACACAGATATGCTGCTAGTATTCTTCTGGATCCTCAAAGGGTCCATACTGCAGATCTCCAGAACCCTGTCTATGCCTCCCTTTCATCTTCAGTGTCCTGTCCTGGAAACTTTAGCCTGCAGTCTCCTTGAACTGTCAGCTCTGGCCCCACAGCAGGGAGTGCACAGGCTCTACCTGGGTCCCTTTCCCTGTTCTGTGGCCTGCACCTGGCTCACAACTGTGCTGGTGTAATTGTTAAATTCATCTCACTTATTATTTTCCATTTGCAAGTTTATTGTCCTTCATTTACTTATGTCTTGTATCTGCTTTTAAATGAAGGTAATCTTTTTAAATATACATTTTTGTGTGGTTATTATTTTTGTTGTTTGAAATAAAAGGGAAAACCTGGTCGTTATTGTTTGTTCTTGGCTGGAAGCAGAACAGATGTGGCATTTATTGAGATCTTGTTTACTTGGAAAAGTTTGATACATACTGTAGATATATCATACTTAACTGCATTTGTCCATTTGTAAGATTTGCTTTACTTTCTATTTAGGATGTTAAGCAAAGAGATGTATGTCATGCTCATAATTTAAGATGATCTTCTGTGCTGAATGTATTCTTAACATGTGCATAGCACATGCTAAATTTTGGTTTGGTATGTATGTGTTTTGTTTGTTTGGTTGGTTGGTGGGTTCATTGGGATATTTTTTTTTTTTGAGACACATTCTTGCTCTGTAGCCCAGGCTGACCTCCAACTTGGAATAGTCCTGTCCAACCTCCCAGACTGCTGAGGTTACAGGAAATTTTGCCTTTATCGTTGCTCAAGACCAGGGCTAAAGTTAAAAGAAATGAATTAACAATTGATTAAAATACTATCACTTTTTTTCAGAAGAAATCCATTCCAGTGAACTATTTAAGTAAAAATAATTTCCCAAGAGAAACTTAATTCTGGAAAGATAATTGTCTGTTTTAGATGCCTATAATTTTCAATTATGTTTGGTTGGCTTCCAAGTTGTGAAAAAGAGAAGTGTCGCAAGACTTAAGAACTTAGTTGGTATCCAATTCATGCAGTTTCTTTCCAAAGCTCTGGAGAATCAAAGATATCTAGGAAGTGGATTCCTGAATCCATTCAAGTGTAAGCATGTGCAAAACAACTCTGTGAGCCCAGAGCCAAACAAGAAGTACTACTAATATAGTCAATAACAATAATAGTTGTATTAATGTTTGTCTTAAAATTGAAAGAAATGATAAAATGATCTTTACTGTTGTCTAGAAAAGTATACACTTAAATGTGAAGCCCTAAAGGAATTCTTCTTTTGGCTATTTGCTTATGCCTAGAAAATGGGTTTGAACTGTCGCAGCTCCTAACCAAGTAGTGCAGATTACAGTAACTCTTTTTGCTGAAAAGCAGAATCTTGAGCCTTTTCTAGAGAGAAATCCCAGATTATTGAGGAGGCTAGCTGGTAATTTTCTCTCCTTGTACCCTGGGCTGAAGGAATACTAGTAATATGAGCGTCCAGGTATGAAGCCCTTGATTTCACCAACATTCCCACAAAGGACTCTTATTAGGCCATTAAGTAAGAGATGAGCCTAATTATTGGAAAATGATAAATAAAAATTATATCTGAAAGCAAACAGGACTTTTTAATTACAAATAACCAAATACTTCCCTGAGGATAAGTGTTCACATTGTCTATGTGAGTTGTCAGCCTTTATTGAATCAAACTCTTCATCCCCATCAAATCTTTGCTCTGAGTATCACAGGCACTGGTGCTTTCCCTGTGGAACTCTGATTTAAAATACAAATAAAAACAAAAAGACAAAGTTGCTCAATATATGATTTATTTCTTTTATTAACTCTAAAACTGCAAATCAACTACTGCTTCTAAAATATTTCTAAATGTCCTTCTTTCCTGAGGCTCAGGAATGAAACTCCAGATCATCTAATATAAAAAGGCACACAATTACCTCATCGTTCTTTATAATGTATCTTTTGCTGTGATAGGGAGAGCAGAAGACCCAGAATAGCTTGCCAGCATGGATGCGTGTGCTAATGGTGCAGCACTGCCTGAGTCTGACAATCATTCTTCCCCCATTGTCTGGAATGCCTGAGAAATGGCAGAAGCCAAGAATGATTCACTCACTGTGGGCCAAGAATCATAAGGATAACCAAGGGATCCTTGTTGACTGCCAAGGTGCTTTATTAACTTTGGACCTAAAGAAATATGGTTAGGAAAATAAAGTGTGAGATTATGAATTGCAGGTGAAATGATGGGTTAGTTGTGCTGTCGCTATAGATTAGTGACTCTGCAAGATGGGAAATATGTGTTGTGATTATTATTTGTGCTTTTCTGCAGAAGGTGCTAATCACCCCAATCTGTCTCTAAGTTCCCTGTGATAAAGGACTCGTTTTCACTCTGAACCAGTGGGAAGGTTGTATTTCCAGTCTTTTTCCTGAAGTGCCGGATATGGTTCTGAGTAGTTGGTGGTGATGGTCATGTTTTAATAGACTCTGGTTATTCTGACCAAGATGATTCTTAAAAATTCCTCAAAAGCCTTGTTTTGAAGTTTGAACCAGTAACCCTTATGGTTTTTTTTTTTTTTTTTTTGAGTTTATTGGTACATTTAGGGATACAGTACAGTTACATTCATTGTTGGGATCATATAAAATGGAATATTACTCAGCCATAACCCTTATGGTTTTGAAGGCCTTTAAATATTTCTCTGAACTTCATCATCCCTGTTTTACTGAAAAAACTTATGTATAAAAAAATCTCTATATAGATGAGTGTATAAATATATGTATGGATATGCACATATATGCATAGAGAAACAAAAACGATAGTAAAACATTTTATAATAGGAAATTAGACACTAAAGTGTATTGCGCTAATGTTGAAAAGGAAAAAAGAAGATATAATCTTAATTTAATAATGAATAATGTCCAAAGTAAGAAAGAATACTTTTCCTTGATCCAATCAAGCACACACAAAGGAGAAACTTAAATTATATCAGTTGTGAATTGGGTGAAATATAAGATATTTTTCATATTAATGACAAAACTTGAAAAAGATTAAAATGGAACCAGTTGATCCATTATAGCTTGACATGTATAATATATTTATCATGGCTTGTATTTTACATAGGCAAGGTTAGGTAGGAACATAGAGTCTATGTCAGCGAGGAAAAACATTGTGGGCATCAAAATATGCCTAACAGTGCATGAATATGTTTTTGCAATGATTAACTTACATAGGCCAATTCCATATTTCACATACCACAGTTTTTGTATAAACTGATAAATTTATATTTTATGTTGATTCTTCTTACCCAGGAGCAGGGGATATCTTTCCATTTTCTTATATCCTCTTCGATCTCTTTTTTCAGATTGCTGTACTTTTCAGTGTAGAGGTCTTTTGCTTCTTTTGTTAGATTGATTCCCAGATACTTCGTTTTTTTTGGATGTTACTGTGAAGGGAATTGTTTCCCTAATTTCTCTCTCAGTGAGTCTGTTATTTGTGTACAAAAAGGCTATTGATTTTTGGGTGTTGACCTTGTATCCGGCTACTCTGCTAAAAGTACCAATTAAGTCTGGAAGTCTTTTGGTGGAGTTCTTTGGGTTTTCAATGTAGAGTATTATATCATCAGCAAATAATGATAGTTTAAAATGGGCGTCTGAAATGAACAGACATTTCTCAGACAAACAAGTAAAAGCAACAAGTAAATATATGAAAAAAATGTTCCACATCACTGGTTACTCGAGAGATGCAGAGATTTCACCTCACCCCACAAAGAATGGCTACTATCAAGAAATCACACAATAACAAATGTTGGCAGGGTTGTGGGAAGAAAGGAACCCTTCTCTACTGTTGGTGGGAGTGCAGACTGGTGCAACCACTATGGGAATCAATATGGAGATACCTCAAAGAGCTGGGAGTAGAGGTTCCATTTCACCCAGCCATCCCTCTGCTGGGTATCTTACCAAAAGGATTAAAAGAATCATAGCACAGTGACATATGCACACCTATGTTTACAGTGGCACAGTTTCTAATAGCTAAAACCTGGAAACAGCCCATTTGCCCATCAGGTGGACACTGGATAAAGAAGATGTGGTTTTTTATATAAAATGGAATACGACTCGACCACAAAGAATGTGAAATTAGATTCATTCATAAGAAAATGGAACATATTGAGGATATACTCCTAAGTGAAATAAATAAGTCACACATGTAAATACTGAAGTGTTTCTCTGGTGTGAAAAACTAAAATAGCACATAAGATCCTAATGAGATAATTAACAATGTGAAATAGGAAGAAAAGGGCTAAAGGTGTAGGGAAAGTGGGAAGGGTCGGGGAAAGGTAATAAGGGAAAGAAAAAAAAATGTGAGAAAATGAAAAAATGGAAATAAAATGTTTGTAAATGGGAGGGGGGGTGAAGGGCGGGCAGGGACAAGGGGGAAAAATGAGAACCAAGACCTGTCATGTAAAAGTACAGGGTCCCAATGATGAATGTAACTGTACTGTCGACCTAAAATGTACCAATAAACTCAATGAGGAAAAAAATTATATTTTACTTACAGTAAGGCTTTTTGTAACTAATTGCAATGATGAAGAAATATTACAGTGCATAATACATAAGCTTGAGCCAGAATTCATGATCTGGATGGCTGCCCCATTCTACCACCTAGTTTCATAATTAAGTAACATTAAAGGCCCAGAGAGACTGAGTGGTTTGCTCATTGCCACAGAGTGGTGGGATAATTCAGTGCTACAGAAAGAAAGACCAAAGGAAGATAAGAACAAACCCTGAACCCGTCAAAAACATTTTGAATTACCGTTCCAGATACCTTTTAGAGTATCTATAATCATAACAGCCATGCTTTGCCAAGACATTAACTAGTAAGCCATGTTTTCTAAACTGGGACGCCAAAACATTTCTATTTGATGAAGTGGAATGGTAAATTTGAATGTATTTTTAATATAATCTTATATTTCAAGAAAACGGAAGGCAAGCAGTGACTGAACCAGGATGAAGCCGACATTGCCTAAAACACGCTTGCATTGTCTTCCTCCATTGGTCTACCGGAATAGCACAGCTTAGGAAGCATTCAGCTAGGGAGTTTTATGAATTTTCTTCTGATGAATAATTGATGCTTCTATGCAGATCCAGTTGGCGAAGGTAAGCTCCTTCTTTCATCTAGTCAGATCCACTTCATCCTACGAAGTGTGCAAAGACTAACAAAACTACAACAAAATCAATAGATATAATCATGGTATTGTATCTACAAACAAATGTGTTCAAGCAGTGTTTCAACGACATCTATTTTAAAATCTCCTGATCATCTCCCTGTGATGGAATTCTTCTATATTTAATACATGTCTTATTATCTTCCCTCTTTTCTCCTCCTTCCCAGTGGAAAACCTTCAGCAAAGGAAGGTTCTGATCTCAATTTTTCACCCATAACATTTTAAAAAATGACATTTTTCCTACCTGTCTCATTAAGATAAATTGAACAATACGCTTATCCCAGTTTGGACTTTGACCTATAAAAGCGGCAGAATTATTTGCTTAAAGCACTTAAGAACTGACATGATTTGAATTGTAAAGTATGAATATTTTACTACATATACTACTCCATAGGGGACAGGCACTGTTAACAATATTATGTGAGTCACTAAATTTTTCGCTGTTATTTATAAAGTTGATCTTGTTTTTTTAAAACAGCGAAAAAGATTTCAGAAGAATTCTTGTTTTATTTGGGAATATGTGACAGAAATTAAATGAATGCTGAACTTCAAAGTTCTTTTTTAATTTGAATATGCTAGTAGAAATTTTAATTTTTATTTGATTAGTTTTCAGATTGGATAAGTGTCAAAGATGCTTTTATTACTCCTGAGTGTATCAAAGTGCTTTTGCTGTGCCATAGTGGGAAAAAGATTTCATCCTATTTCTGCTAAATTTAATTGCTACTAATAAAGATAAAGTGTTGGACACTTGGAAGGAAACAAAAATATATTTCATACAAACAAAATATGAGTACACTACATTTTAACTTTTAATTCTGTCAGGTATTAACTCAGGAAGTAAATTTTTATATTCAGTTTATGCATACACTAAGGTTTAAATTTTTAAATCACATAAGTTATCATTAGTGAATTTATGTGATTATTTTTGATGGTGAAAAATGTATTACCTTTATTGCTTCAGCTTTCAAAACTTTCTACAGGATCCTTCTGACAAGGCGATACTTTTTCATCTTAAATTACATGAGTAAAACAAATCCCATAAAATTAAATATAAGAAATTGCTTTGGAGAACATCAAAGTCTTTATCAGAAGTTTTGTTCTTGCATTCTATTTCCCTGAACCTGCATCATTGAAATTGAACACCTGATTTAATTCTAATGATGATGCTGTTTGACATTCATTTTTGAAATTAATTTAGAAAACCTCTCAGAAAACTTTTTCATAAAGAAACACCTGTACTGACTAATGTGTAGAGTTAGAGCCTTCCCTCTGACTTTAAATATGAGAAATCACAATATGTGATTTTATAGAAAAATATTTAATTGAGCATTTTAGCCCTAGCATAACATCACAGGTGCAGTATACCTATATAAATCATATGGGCGATGACCCCATTGAAGCAGGTCCTTTTAAATCATAAGTTCTGTTACCAAAGACCAATAGAAGCTCACAGAAAAGCTGTCGGGCCAGTTAGATCATAAATATATCACATGAGAATTACAGAACGAAAAGGAAAACTGAAACAACAAAATATTATTCATAGATAAATGATTATAATGTGAATATGTAGGCCAGAATAATTAGAGAGGATGCACTTAATTTTCTATGATCAAATGTGAACAACATTTTTAATGTTTTTCTCTCAGTAGTTTTGTTAATCCTATGTAAAGTCTATTCCAACTAAATGTCTGAACTCGAAGGAGTACCTTATAGTGCAGGATGATTTAATATCAATGCTACTGACATTTGGGTCCAAAGAATTCTTTATTTCTGAGGACGGTCAGGGGCATTACAGAATGTTTAGTAGTATTCCTGGTCCCTACTCCCTATGAGCAGTAACACCTTCTCCCTCTCCCTCTGTCCCTGTAGAAATAATTTTCTTAAAAAATCTCTGTAAACATTGCCAAATTCCCCCTTGCAAGCAAAATCATCCACTATTATGGAGCCAAGATGAAGGAGGTTCTTACTTTCATGTCATTATCTTTCTCTCCTCTTGAAGGATGAATTCCTCATGCTTACCTGGCATCCTGCATAGTTATTGAAAGGGTCACATTTCATGTTTTATAAGAAAGAATACAGCTAATTTTCTAAGGGCTCAGAAATCAAAATTTCCAACCTTGGATAATGTCAAATTTTTTCTGTATTGGTAATTTATCTCAACTGATCTTATGCAAGAAGGAAATTTTCTGAAGGGATAGTGTATATAGTACCTCAGCTCTCTATTGGTGCAAGGAGAAACTGAGTCTGCTAATCTCACTCTTTGAATTTGGACTATTGGACCATTAGAAACAACGTGTATGTATCACAGTGATACTTGAAACTATTTTTTTTGGTTTTAGATATCCTGGAAGACATTGTGAATACCATTTGGTATGAAGCTTCTTTTGTTTCCTTGTCTGTGTATCAAGGAATGAGTTTCTTGCAGGCGGAAGAGATTTCAACCTAATAATGTAAAGTCAAGGCAGTGATGCCTATGATCTCAGTCCAGGGGTTAGGACAAATGACAGAGCCCCCACTTCTGGTTGATAAATGTATGGTGTTGTTTTCCTTTCTTGGTAGGCTCTCCCATCATGCCTGCAAAATAATTGTAATTTAAAGTTTATGACATAAGTTCTTTCAACCTGAGATCTGGGAGAGGAGAGAGAACTTCCAAGTCTGTGGTGGTACCTGTCTCATCCAGACCGCTGGAGCAATCATGAATAGAAGAATACAGACCATTCTGAGTTTGCTGGAAGAAAGTTTGGTGAGTTTGAATTACAAAAATAACACCTAATCATTTCCATGCATTTCTATTTTGTCTCAACAGAAATATCATAAATTGAGAGCACAGATCGTATCTTACACTTCACTTTATTCCCTGTGGAATCTCCATCATGTGTTGTGCTCAGCAAACATAAAACAGGGAATCTATGTTAAGTGGGGCTTGTAAATCATGCACTCTTTCTATAAAGAAATCAAAGCATTTTTCATGTTTCCAACAAGGTATAATTCTCAAGGAAGTTCCAAAGAAAAAAACTATTATAGGAGAAGAGCACTCTCCTATTTTAAAAATGATTACATGAAGCAGTAATCATTCAAATGACTTATGTGAGGTCATAGTAAGTTGAGAAAATTTCCCTTGTGTAACATCTTTCTGAGAAAAGGAAGATCAAAGAAAGGACAAGGAGTATGCAAATATATATTATTATTGCTAAGAACTCTGTCCATAAAGTTGAATTCTCCTATATGATAAAAGTAAAATAAAAATGAGGTTATGGCAGACTCTCCTGGCTAGGTTTAGAGCAGGCTGTAGTATGGTACAGGTATCTTTTCTTATCATTGGCTATAACATACTCAGAGCCGGACCAAAGCCTAAATGACTCACAGATGGCGCTCAGGTCCTTGTCAACACGGAGGAAGTGGAGATCTAAATCCTGAACTCAAACTGCAGGGCTCCTAGTGAGATAACAGCAGCTGAAGACCAGGACTGTATGACTCCAGACCACATTCCATTCCCAGAGCTGCCCTTTCCTTGATTGTTTCAGTAGCTTACTAGTTAAGCATAGCCAATCTTTGGTCATTCTGATTCTTTTGCAAGAATGCCTTATCCTACTTTCTGCAAGCCTTGCCTGTGTTGTTGATATCACCCGATGCCATGTATATCCCCCTAACCAATTCTACCAGTTTTGTGCAATCCTAATAGTCCTGGTTACTTGGGGTCCTCACTATATACTTGGCATAGCCCATCCCGTTCCCCTGCTTTCTGTTTAGGTCTTGTTTCCATATCTTTCTTTTATCTTGTCCTATTACCTGGCACGAGATCCAAGCTCTCAGTCAGGGTCGTCAGTAGGTGGACTTAATTTTTAGTTTTATATTATATAGATACAACAAATCTCTGGATTTTCATATGCAGAATAAAAAGATTAAGATATCTACAGTTGATTAAGAAAAATATCACTTATTGACTATATCACTGACATTTGCTTTCAGATTATTTGAATGCAAAACTTAGGCTTAGGAAGTACTCAGTTTAGTTCCATATTTAATTAGGTATATTTGGAAGCTACTTTGTTTTGATACTTCCTGAAAAAAAAAAAAAAACACTTAATGCCTCATCAATGAGTCCTGATTTTGATCCATGCAATGCGTCCTTCATCTCCAAAGACCATAGCATGGTGTCCCATTGTGCTTCCTAATGAAAAATCTCTATTTAGAAATGTAATCGTCATTTCACAAAACACAGGGAACATTATGTTAGTTGAGGTCTTATATTTCTACATATTTTAGGAAAAACGAGAGCATTCATAAAACAAATTCACAAACAAGATCTTTTAAAAACGCCCTTCTAGTGTGATGAAGATGGGATTTAAAGTAATTAATACTGAAGGTTGTATGTTTTTATTTTGGGAAAACAGCATAATTCTAAATTTCTTATATAAATATGTTCAGATGTACTCTGTACACATCTCTAATGTGATTCACTGAAAACAATACACTTAGTTTCTTGCCAACTCAAATAATAATACATCTGATGTGCTAATATTTCAAAAGGAATCTTTTTCCAAGTTGAAGATGATTTCATGTGTATAACTTATAATAGCAGAGACTAATTTACATAGACAATTTAAAGAACAAAAATCTTATCTGAAATGTCAGTGGAAAAAAAAAATTGGAAGGACCTCTTTTATACTAAAAATAGGTTTGTTTTTGTTGAATAAATCCAGGATGCATTGTTAATGATCTGAGAAATCTTTATTTCCAGGGACGATCCCTGTACTGAGTTTGGGCTTATACAGTTTGGGTGATACTGATAATCAGTAAAAGATGTCACAAATTCATTTAGGAGGTACATAGCACTTAATTATTGAACAGAGTTCGTGAGCTTGCAATGTTTACTGCACAGGAAAATATTCTTAGGGCATTTAGCTACCTTTTTTAACCATTTTTTTTACAAGTCTTAAATTCTAATAAAATCAAATAAAGAGGAGGCTGGTTGTTGTCTCAGGTTTCTGCTACTTATAAACAATCACATATTATTAGAAGTCCCTGATCCTTGATTTCTTAGCCTGTAAAATCAAGGCAGTGACAACTATTGATAGAATTAAGGGATTATATGACAAAAATAATATTAAAAAGTTTGGAACAAGAATCGGGACACTGGAACCTCAGCAAATGTTCGTTTCCCTTCTTAACCCCTCTTCGTCTGTGTTAGTTATTTTCTCTCATTTATGAGATAAAAATACTGGACACCCAAAGTTAAAGAGGAAGGTTTTTATTTGACTCACAGTCTGTAGAGGTTTCAGTCCATAATCAGTTGGCTCCAAGGCAGAGTGGCAGAGGGGCAACAGTTCCTGGTGGCCCGAAGCTAGCACACCAGCAAGATTTTAGCAGCATCTTTCAGCCCCTTTTATCTTATTCAGACTACTGGCATTAGGGCAGTGCCAAAACAATCAGTATACGGGTTTAGTAATCACACAACCTTAATCTCAGCATCACACACTCTAGCTTCAGCCACTGTATAAGGTTTTGGGGGGACATCTAGGCCCAAAACGTAACAATATCCATCACCTTACCCTCTTAAACAATCTTTCAGTTTTGGTTCTCTCTGCCTCCTCCAAGCCGAATATAATAAGACCACCTTTTGGAGCTCTATCTGAGTCTGCTTGGGGTCAAGATTTCAATGATAGGTATTACATTTTTAAAGTAAAATCATAGGTATACTGTGGGTAGGAATAGATACTGGGCTCCCCTTGACCTTTCTACTAAGTAAAAAAATTAAAAAGAAAGAAAAGAAAAAGAAAAAAGACTTGACACTGTCAGAAACTTGGTGTTCTATAATCTTCCTTGATGTTAAAGATTTTCATGTTCATATTCACCTCTGCTACTGGAAAATTCACCTAAAATTTGCACCCTCTTCTCTTTTATCAAATCCTTTTCCAAAAAGCCCCCTGGAAAGAACACTATCAGCAGTAGAAATGTAGTAAAATATCCACAGGCTTGGGCTCTGATGGAAAGGGCATGGCCTTGGAATCAAATAAACCTATGTTGAGGTCTTTCATCACTTGCTGCTTCTATGAATTTGCAGACTACCACTTTAGGCAAGTTGTTTAAATACTCTCAGTGTTTCTGTTTTCTCTTGTGAAGTTCAGAAAGGAATGCTACCATGCAAATTTGTTGCAACAATGGAATAAATAATTCTAGAGCACCTGGAAATTAATAGAATTTCAATTGATGACTTCAATTAATGAACTCAGTGACTTCTACAGTCAATTTTGATACAGTAAAAAGCTTTACATTGGATTCTTTCCTTGTAAAAATTCCAGGACTCATCATTTTCCCCTCATAGTATTTACTGACCTCAATTTCTATTGGATATCTTCTTCTTTTCCTATTCTTTTTTTGTGGTTCTAAGCAGAATAAAATAGCAATGAAAGACTTGTAGAGAAAATTTATTTCTACTCTTTATCCTACCAATTTTATTTGGAATTTCTTATTTTCAATTCCAGCCTCAATGACATCAGATACATAAAACTACTGTGAAACTTTTCTCCCGAAAAGAGAAAAATATAATGTCTGATGTTATTAGACTTTCATTTCTACTCATTAACTTGACCATGGTTGGTACTGCTCTGATTACTGAATATAACTGTTGTAAGTAACCAGAAGCAAAGACTTCAGGAACACAGAAATTAAGCAACATTTTCTCAATCTTCTGTTCTATATTTCTTTAAATGAATTTTTAAATTATACTCATTAACTGTGATTCATGAGTTATATCAGATTCCATATTAGAGGAATTTAACATTAGTTGATTCTATCTCACACCAACTTTTAACAGCCTGGTTTTTCTTTCTTTGAAGTTAATAAATGGGATTCACTCTTCCTCAGATTTGAACACTTAAGTATCATGCCATTCATCTTTTGGTTCCATTTTAGATATGGTGATTATAGACTTTATCTTCCTGAAGGGGTTATGAATCCTTTGGGAGCATATTTTATCTAGTGCTCTTATTATCCCATGAATTTTAGATAGAACATAGCAGAGACAAATTGTATATGGACTAAGGAAACTAAAATTAGTAAATTATTATGAATTTAAAACATGTACAGCAGCCTTCTTAAAAATTGCCAATAAACTATTCACATTTTAGAAAATAATCCCAGAAGATAGTTCAAGATTTGAATGTAGTAATTATAATGAATTTTATTATAGCAAAAATATGAAAAATGGAAGCTATGTCTCAAACTAGCATTTTAAATATTCTATTTTTATATAACATACCTAGAGAAGAAAGCATGTGTCCTTCAGGAAGCTTGCTCAATATTCTTCATTTGCCTATCTTCTCCACTGGCTTGGTGAAAAAGACATCATTACTATTAGTTTGGTAGAGGTTATAAATACGAATTCTTTGGATGCTAGTGCTATGTCAATTTAGGAAACTCCCCCAAACAAGGTATTACAACTCTACATGAAATATTCAGTTCCCCCCAAAAGGCTTTTGTGGGGAAAAGATCCAAAGTTATGTACCTTAGATTTAGAAGTGGTTGTGAAATTTTTATAAATCTTAACATTCTAAAAGTTATTATTTGACTGTTCTAGAAGAATAATCATAACCTTTATGTTATAATTACAGCAATGATCAGAAAAGTGGTTAATTAAATATTGCTCATTAATGGAGGAAGAGCAGCAAAATCTATGAAAACTACTACTTATCAAGGAAGATAACTTTCAGCACAAAGAATACAAATGCAATAGCTAATTATATAGTTTTAGTAAGTAGATTATCATGGACTTCACGAAGAATTAGTCAAAAATAAAATAGAGTCATTCTGACTTTTTAGTTGTTACAGAAATTTAAAGCAAGTACTGTATATTAATTCCTTAATGATAAATAACTTCATGTAATAAAGTAGTATACTTATTTTTAATTTGTTGGAATGTAAAATACAGTGTAAATAAACTGGAAATTTGGGGAAATATTTATTGGAATGCAAATAGAAACTGTACTTTAGATATTAAGACTTTGAGTTTTCAATGAATTTATTAACCAATTTATTTTTTGAATTACTAAATATGATTTTGTACTATTAACAGTTATGTATGTGTATTTTAAGGATAGATTGCATTTGGATGGGTTTTTTTAAAGCAAAATCAAAACTCAAACATAAATTTTCATACCTAATTTCACACAAAGTAAAACTAAAAATAAAGCAATTTTTGAAAGATTTTTCTTCATAATTCACTCATGTCTAAGACTCTGTAAAGTGTCAAGAGGAAAAGACTCATGTAACTCAGGACCAGTGTGAGCCCAGAGGCCTAAATGAAGTTTTACTTCTTTGTGTTTCTGTATTTTTTTAAAATTGAGTTTATTGGTACAATCTAGGTATACAATACAGCTACATTCATCATTGGGATTCTATACCTTTACATAATAGGTCTTGATTCTCATTTTTTCCCCTTGTCCCTGCCCTCCCTTCACCCCCCCTCCCCTCCCCATTTACAAACACTTTATTTCCATTTTTTCAGTTTCTCATATTTTTTTTCCTCTCCCTTATTATCTTTCCCCCACCCTTCCCACTTTCCCTACACCTTTAGCCCTTTACTTCCTATTTCACATTATTAATTATCTCATTAGGATCCGGTGTACTATTATAGTTTTTGCACCAAAGAAACTATTCGGTATTTCAGTTAAAGAAATCTCTATATGAACATAAAAGATAGGGAATCCTAAAATAAAACTAAAAAGGAAAGTAAAAGAGAAAAGGTCATGATGTAACATTAAAATAATCCTTAATTCTGGAGATGAAAATGGTCCCTGAACATATTTAAATTGCTTCTTGCTGTTATAGTCTTACCTTATTCTTTTTTTCATTATTTAGAGAATACTTTATTAGTTTCTGTAATCAAACCCATGTAGATATGACCTTACATATTTAGTATGATGTGTTACCCCTGTACACATGGAAAAAAATAAA